AACTATATGCATATATATATGTATGAATAAACAAGCATTAAAATCCAAATGTTTTTTCTTTCTTCCTACTCAATGTCAATAAGAATTGTCCCTAGGCATTGACATTCCTGGCAATATAGCAAAGTAGAAATAGAGGCAAATCAGTTTAGCTGTGCTCTGCAGGGAGTTCTAGCGAAGGACACAGCGTGGCTACATCCAGAAACAAGGGTCATCCTTTGTGAGTATTTATAATCCCTGGACAGACAAAAAAAATTTTACTCTGGTCTTTCAGTTAGTGGATTCATGGCTTGCCACATCCATTCTGCCTTTCTATTTGCAGACATCTTTTGTATCCCACTGAGTTGCCTGGCTGCTGTTGAGGGCTTATTTTCATCTTCAGAAGACAGTAGTAACCATAAAAAATCTTTACAATATCTTTTTGAAATGGACACCTCTATCCTTGCTTTACAGGAAGGAACATGGGCAAAGCTGCATGGATTAGTGATGATTAAGTACTACTGGATGATTCTTCAATTCTGTATGTCCCAAATGGAGATAAAGATACTTTTCTCCACTTCTTGTCTGGTATATTTAAGCTTCATGCTTTCCAGGGCAGCATTTTTCTCATTAGCTGTTTGCACAATGCTTAGCGCCGTGGCATATTACTTTTAGATAGAGCTCCTAGGCACTTCCAAACAGCTGCTAAGTTTACCTAAGGATACAAGGGTATGTTGATAACAGACAGAACCTGATTTATTCTACTTGCTGTCTGTGCAAGCCAGTTTCCAAAAGGAAGCAGAATAGCTGTACTAAGCCATTAGCATCACACAGAGTGAATTTCATCAAGTACAGCAACTTGCTAGCATTGGCATGGCTTCCAGGCTGATTTACAGTTTGGTTCATGGGCAGAGTGTGTGTGTGTGTGTGTGTGTGTGTGTGTGTACGTGTGGCTTCATCTGCACAAGCCCAAGCGTGCCAAAAGATAGGCTGAAGATAAGTTTGTAGCTTTCATTTCAGGCATTATTAGTTTGTAGTCTTCAAAAAGAAACTATAAACACCACTAATAAAACCAGCAACCCTTCTGGCCTAGTAAATAGAGCTCATATACGTTGATAGCATTATATTGGCAACAATGCACTCCATATGCTCATGAAGGTTACAGGGCACATTTCCGTGTAAACAGTCAAGACAGCGAACTTCAAATATTTGGAAGAAATGTTTATTTAACAACTGAATACATGCTAAAAGAAATAATTTACAGCAGCAGTTTCATTACATTTTTTTTTCTCTCCAGTTTTCTAGTTCCCATCTGAATTGAAGTGATAAATACAGAAGTAGAATTATTTACTACCCAGTGAGGAATGCGCTTAAAGCATAAGTGCATAACTTTGATACTGATATAGCAAATAAACCACCTTATCACCTGTGTGGCAAAATCTTGCATTTTAGTATTATGCAGAACACACCAAAATGGAGTACCTCTAGATAATAGTACTTTACACTGTACCTCCTTATCTAGTCAAAAATATTTACATCTCTTTTGGCTAATGTGTAGGTAGCAAAAACTGAACTATTAAACACATACCATTGATATTCACTAAATAATACATAAAAAGGATCAGTAAATGCGCATTCACATGCATTTAATTTAATTTTTTTTACATAGTGACTTAATTGGGTCATGAAGATTTAACTCTGTTCTGCAAAGATGCACGGTTTCTCAGTTTGATATTGTAGTTTAACATAACCATACAGTTTTTAGGAGCCATCGAACAAATTCCCATCTTCAGTGATCCATGCAAGTGCAAAGTGTAGATGAGTAAGAATAAGGTTCAACACATTTTTGTTCCTTGCAAATGGACATCTTAAAACAAATCAAAATAGATCTTTCTGGTTATAAATGAAATCCTTTATTTCTCTCCAGCTTAAATACAACTTTTAACTTACTTTTTCTAAAGTCTGTAACTAGAGGTTTAGAGGGTTTTATTGATGGTTTACAGAAATACCATTTTTATCTTTATCTTCAAACCTTATGTTGCTTTAAACAATAACGACACAAACGAGGGTTTGAATTTTACTGAACCTGCAGGGCATCATTCTATACATGAATTCGTTAAGGCCTGTGTTCTTTGAAAAAAGTTCATTTCACATCAGAATTAAATGCTCTTTTAGCTTGACTATAATATGAACCTGAAAATAAAAAATTTCCACTGCTTACTTGATCTTCTGCCCTCTTATTATATAAACAAATACAAAGACATAAACAAGACTACTCATGTCAGTGAAGATTGGATTGAAGTTTCTAAAATCTGATCATATCAATTGTCCAATTAGACTGCCAGGTTATGGTAAAAACATTGCAACTTCTGTAATTTTGTTCCCACAGATTATCTTTCTTTGTATCAAAAAACATGTCTTAGAATCCTGACTTAATTTAATCTGTTTATTCTTCAGGGGTGGTGAAAGCCATTATTTTGGTTTGATTTTTTGAAGCAAGTTGTTATAGAACCTGATGCTATGAGCATGGTAGAGAAAAAAGTTAGATAGATAGCAATGCCATTAATATGTAAAGAATGAAACAAAGTCATTTAGGGTCTCTTGAAATCAGTCTGTATTTTCCCACTGAATTCTCTGAGGTTCATTTTAAAACTGTTTCCTTTTGTAACAAAGAGGATTCTAATGACTCAACAGTATACAATAGCCCTACACAAAAGGCTAAAGAGTGTTCCATGATTACAATTAAATAATTCAGCTGACAGCAATGCTCAGAAATTAATCATAAGCTGAGCTGAAAAACTGATATTTCTGTACAGGAAAGCATATAGTTGAACTTATGTTTTAATTCATCCCTATTCAGAACATCATGAAAGCATGGGAATTTAGCGGCATATTAAAGTTCACAGGAGTCATGTTAAATATAAGAGAGAGTTAAAATTCCCAAGTGTTTTCCTATATGATAGCCTTACAGCCTCGTCCTGGTCTATTCAATGAATTTTTTGCTAGAGAGTTACACGACAAAAAACCTTGCAAGTTCATCCCCTGCAAAAGATTCAAAGGAGACTAAAGTGACGGGGCCGTTAGTGAAAATCCAATTGCTATGGAGGCAAGAAGCCAAGGCCTCACTAATCAGAAGTATTCTTGAATTAGTGAGTGACAAGGAGACTGGGACATGTTGTGAGAGATGCTGTCACAGCGTTTGTGTTATATTGTATCTGATAAGGCTGATAATGTAAGTGATTGATAAATTAAATAATCTGGAGTGAATAGCAACAAAACAGATCAATCATCAATACAGACACACTTTTTTATAAAAGCTCCTTTAGTGAACTAAGGACTTTGCTCTAGTAACTTTCCCCACAATGACATTATTTGAAATTATGCCATTTACAGACTCTACCAAGATAAAATATGGGAGGCTGGAGAATGATGACCTCAAAAGAACTGGACACCATAGAACTGGGGACCAAAGGCACATCTGTACTGAGGTGAATAAATCCACTACTTATAACCCTAAACTGACAGTTATGGTGCAAGTACATTGTCTGTTTTACCCTGTTGCTCTCCTGTATATAGAATAAGACAGAAGTGCAGGACCAAATTATCTGTTAGTATAAACTAGTCTTAAGCTGAACTTCACCAATTTACTACTGCAGCAGACTTCACCCACAGATAAAACTGTCCCTTAGATCTTAAAACAGAAAACTGGCTTTGAGGTTACTATTTACGTGGCCTAGTGCTGGTTCTTTGCGTTTGGGTGATCTGGCCCACAGAAAGAATGGAGCACTGAGAATCAGTAGTGTGGACATATTTCTACCACTGAGCTGGGAACAAAACTCCTTAAACTGAATGTGAGCTTTGCTCATGGATATATGACAGTATATGAGCCACAGTATTTAAATATTAGCATTCACAAATATTTACGAACCAAGAAAGCAAGAGTGTAATTAGTAGAGGGTATTTTAATGCTATTTACTTTTTTAATTAAAAAAAAATATACAACCGAAAATCAATGCTCTCCTCTTCATTGGTTCAATCTATAGCAAGGTATTATACAAGTTGAATTATTTCAAATACCATATTTAGAAAAAAAGAATACAGAAGACTTCCATGCTATACAGTGACTTTCATGTTAAAATAGCTTAGTTTTTAAGATTGTTTTGAAGTTACATGTCATATAGATTACTGAGAGGGGAGGAGGTTAACTGCAGTGTGACTAGCTCCCCTGGAAGATTTTCCAAACAAAAGACTAATGCAGCTCATAATTGGAAGTTGTCTTTTTTTCCTCTAAACCAGTAATTAGAAAGTACAATATTTCTAAGACAAGAAGTCTAATCTATTTTAGAAAAGAGCTAATGTTTGCTGCATATTTTTCATGGTACATTTAAATTATAGTTTTAATAAAATACATCTTTAGATCAAAGCTGAAAGAAGTCATCAGTAGTAGGCCAGTGTACTCCACATTTTTTGTTCTTCCAGATGATGGATGGCTTACGTTGTTCAGATTTCCACAAACAATCTAATTCAGTATTGTTTTTCCTCTTCTAGTACATATAAACAGGAGAACTGGTAGACAAAACAAGAACAAAATCCTTGTGTCCAATCATGTGTTTAGACGTTCATCAGCTTAATGAGTTCATGCAGTTTTATATATAAGTCTAGAAATGGTAGTGCTGATGATGAAAGGTGGGGTTTGTTTTTCTTTTCTTTAAGATGACAGCATGAAATACAGCATTTTGTTTTTATTTCAGGCAAAAGAGAAAGCAAAACTTGTGAGCAGTAAGCTAGGTCCAGGTGAGTTGTCATCCTTGAAACTCTGGTCTTTCTGGTCTTAGAGCAGAGAGGAAGGACTTACTAGGAAAGTTATAAATGGATTTTATTTAAACCTGGTGGAAACTGTTTGAACTTTCCACTCTTGTAAACATCCACATAATGCCATGAAAAAGTTCATGAATATTGCATTTTTTCCAGTTATCTGTCTATACAAGTTTCTACTTGGATGAAGTTCCTAGAGGTAATGTAGCTCAGACACTCCGTGGTGCCCTCTCAAATTCATGGGTCCTCCTGTTCCTACCTTTTTTATTCTCTTGTAGGTGCTTCCACTTATTTGTATTCACCTGCGCATTGGCAGGCCTTTGCCGGCGCTGTTTGCGGTCTCTTTTCCAAACCTGCTCACAGAACTCATCCATTGTGTTGAGATTAGGGTGATTGATTAACTGCATGAAGTCTCTATACCAGATCTTTTGACTGGGGGTCATGCTATTGGTAGCATCCTTGGTCTTGGAGGCATCACCATCTTCTTCTTTATGGAGCAGCTCTTCCAGGTGGTCAGTATCAATTACTTCCAGGGTCACTTTGAGCAAAGTTTGCATGAAGCCATGCTCCACAGCATGACAAAAATAAATACCAGAGTCTCTCCGTTGAAGACTTCGTAGCAATAGGCCCTGTTCTGTCCGGATCATGCGATCATCCACTTTTATCTGTATTAGAAAAAAGCGGTAATTTCAATAGTGATTTTTCATATATTTGCAAAATTACCCTATAACCATGAATGGAAAACTCCTTGCCAGTCATCTGTAGTTATGGGAGGCTCAAATACTCTGGAAAAACTACTGATGTACTGCAAAGAGTTTGAGGGATTAAGAATTTACTCCTTAGTCCCTACTGCTGCCGAACAAAGATCTGTATCAAATCTGTCAGATGGACTTGCTGGTAAGATTACAGAAGATGCAATCCTATAATCAGCAGAGTCAAAATGGATGCACTTGGCTGTATTACCAAAGTCACATTTATCATTATCTTTTAGTCAAGCCTAGGTATATTTGTGGGAAAGGTTCTCTGTCTTTCCATTGTTGCTTACTACAAAAGCCCTTATGGACAGAAGTGGGTTCTGCACAAGTGGAGAATTTACGAAGAAACAATAAGGATTAAATCTCAAAATATTAATATTTGAAAAGAAGCTGTCCAAAATACTGTATTTTTCTGAATTAATTAATATCTACAATATAATTATATTCTTTGAATGCACATGTCGCTGCAGACAGAAAGGGCATAAACCTGTTTGCTGCTCTCTCCACCAAGAATAAATTCTAAATTTGCTACTTATGCAAACAAAGCAAACAGCAAAAACATCTCAAGCTGCTAACGTAACTAAGTATTTAGTACATGCTTTAAAAAAAAAAAGCTTCAGAGTAGTTTGGGTATATTAACAAATACTTCAATGCAACAAACACGTTTTTTGTTTCCTAGCTTGATCTCCCTACCTACCAGAGTAGATTATTCTCTTAAAGTATGTGTCACCTAGCTTGATAGTAACATGACTTGAGAACCAGGGTGACTAATAACATAAGAATGTTGGTGACAAGAGAAGGAGAAAACTAACGTATCAGCTTAGTGCAATGCAATCAAGGAAAGTCAGTGGTTTTGCCTCTATGAGTATTGCTTTTGATGAAAAAAAATTTACAAGTTTTCATACCTTTGTGTCCACTACAGTTCCCAGTTCTGCATTTTGTCTCTGTCTTATCTGTAGTAAAGTCTTAGAGCATGCAGTACGTAGGAAATGCTCCTGTTAGACTGTGTTTCAAACAGTACAATTACATCAGTGCAGTTAGGCTTTTTATCAGAGGCAGTTTTAAGGCCTTTGTAATATTTAGAGTTCAGTATAAACCTTGTACGATGCTTTAGGTGGCACATACATAGCATGCTACCTTTTCGTATTTCCAAGATATCTAAAGTGTATATACCAGTGTGTTTTGCAGGGGGTCAGACCAGGGAGAGTATATGAATGTTTTCTGACATAACAGTCTGTGAAACCTATTAGAGAGCTTATGGGATTTTATGGTGGTAAGAGTAAGAACGTGGTGAAGAACAACAGAATTTATAAGATTCTGGAGAAATTCTGCTAAACTAAAACACAGATGGATGTTATTCTGGGAAGGACTCAGATTCAAGTATATCTTCATAGAGAAGACTAGTTGCATCTCTTAATTTTTTCTACTGTACCTCTTCTTTGCGGTCATCATTTTGCTTCTGGAATTGCCAGTAGACTACGGCACGCTGAGATTTTGGACTACACTCAAGGAAAGTGCTGCTGTTCTCTACTCCATAGATAATCTTTTCCTCCAGGGTCTGACCACTTGGGTTATCTGTAAAGCAAGAAAAAAAAGAAAAAAAGAATTAAAATTACCAGGAAGGAAAAAGCTTGATTGCTAAGTGAATTTGTTTGTTTAGAAATTGGGCTCCCTTAAGGTGTTTAAAGATAAAAACCTTGAAAGAAAAAATTCCCCATATCAGTATGCCATTTGGAAAATCTCCATCAACATCTCTATCTTTGTAAGGATCCCTGGTAGGGTTTTTTTTATTATTATTATTATTTTTGTATTTTAAATCCTAACAGCTGTTAACATCTCAATATGTGAAGTTAATGAATTTCATTGTGAAATTCTGTGTAAACCTCATTACTATTCATCAAGGAAAACATCTAGGACATGACAAGAATTTTTAATAGCAAACTGTATGCAGAGAGAAGTCTCAGGGTGTAGTTGCAGAATGTCTGTAATGATGCCTCCTGGGCTCCACGATCATAATACTTTAGAGCAAAGTAATAAAACATGAGGCTATTTAAAAGTAGTATAATGTGTTTAGATTATATGGCACTGCAGTTTGCTGAAGCTGTTAATGACCAGGAATAATGTTTTTGAGGAAACAATCTTCAATTAATCATTTCCTCTCATACTGATATAATTTATGGAAATGTAATGAGGTTAATAAACCAGCCATTATGGGAGGGGAAAAAGAAAGTTAAATAAATTACTTCCTTTTGTAACAACAATGTTTCAAGATATTCATCAACTTGCTGGAAATATCACATAGCTATAGGACTTATATGGCATTTGATTCTTCTCCAATACCGCAGAGGCTGCAAGGCATCGTATTTCAGCTCTCCACCTTAGCTCTTTAAAATGTTGTTAGGGACTTAAGTGGCAACAGACAATGATCCTGGAGAGTAGATGGGGAGGAAAGGGTTGGTAAGCTATTTAACACTTTGTTGATCTCATGGGGTTTCCTGTCTCTTTGCCATTATTTGCCATTCTTTCCATTTTCCACTTTTGATCTTTAGCACTGGAAATCTTTAAGGAACTTCTTTTGATATGTTTTAACAGGAAAATGATGTCTAATTAAAATCCTCTCACAGAAACCCTTTGTCAAGTTTTGTTTGCTTTCACTGTGCCTTTATCATGTTGGCCATGTTGTTTAGCAAACACAGGCTGTTCGCTAGATGACTGAGCCAAAGGTAAAAATAAAATTGAGATCCTGGTTTATGTTGATACACCAATCATATGTCTTTCCATAATGACTTGCAGCCCTGAGAGAGGATGGGAGCAGGGATGGTGGACAGAATAGGAACTGGTGCTTGCCCAGTTCTCAGTAAGAAAACATCAAATGGCCTGTTAACACTAAAGAAATAGGGAATGGGTTAGCTTCCTTTCCTCTGTTGGACTGTGAACTTTTCCAGCAAGTTAGTGGGGTGCTATATAAACTAAGTGAAACAACTTTTTATGACATCTCTCAGAAACCACATCCCTAAGAAGAATGTCAGTGCAGCTTTGGGCCAGGAATATGGGGAGCAACGGAGGAACGAATTAGAAAGCAAAGCAGCAAGAGAAGGGTAAGACAGCTGGAAGAGAACATAGCCAAGAGTACCAGTGGTAAGGTCTGAGATGGAGCACGGGTGAATTTGTGTCAATGAAACAAAGGAACTAGAAGTATGCAAAGAGATTAACTGAATATAACTAGAAGTGATAAGCTAAATATTGGAAATGGAAATGATTGACTGATAACTCATGGGTCCAGATTTGACATCGTGAATGGCTGACTGATATCCTGACTCTTCTGTTTCAAGACAGGTACTCTAATTTAGGAACAGAATTCATGTGGCTGAGCAGGCAGCCGAAGATCCTCACATAGTCAGTGAGAGGCAGTCTGATATCTGAACTAGGATCCACAAGAGACAGGACATGTAGGACTGCAGCATAAGACAGTCAGTAGGAAACATCCCCTTTTGTAGCATTGGAACACATATGTTACTGCTCCAGAGATGTGTTTCTGTGCAACAGAGATTTACAGGCTTCCAGAATAAAGGATGGGGATTTCACCCTAGGATGCATGCTCTATTTCAATTTCTCTCTCCCATGCTCCACAAACTTTGAATCATGGTTGCAGGATGGCCCAACTTCAGTGAGAGCAATCTGATAGTTTAGGTGTTTGTATTGGAAGTAGAGCTATCAAGTCAATGTCCTAACCCTAAGTGGACTTTGAGTCCCCTTCTCCCACATCCTGAATAGCTGGTGTAACCAGCAGGTTACTCCTTAGGTGGCTTGCAGCACCACTTGACTATATTTTCCTGAACACAGCATAGTCCAAGTGAATTATAGAGGAGCAGAGCACGTGTAACACTGTTATCATCAGATCCAAGGGACAGTCTTCTAGAACCTAAATCAGTTCAAATGACAAAAATAGATACTTCTTTGGCAAAGGCCCTACTGCCCATGAGCAGTAGCATATTTTTAAGTATATAGAGAAGTTTCTGCTGGAAAATTTAGGTACCTAGGTTATCCTTAGTATCTAAGAAGCTAGTCACAAGTTGTCATGGAAGTTACCTTGAAGGTGGGTGCTCTGACACCATTTCAAACTTCTGAGTGTTTTCTTGGATCTGGTCCATGGCGTTCTAGTATGTCAGAGAACACCATGGAAAGTGGCAGAAGCCCCCTTTAAATTTCCTCACAGGTCCACAAAATACAGTATGGGTGACAGTCATGCAATGAGAGAGGAAAGATTTAAGAGATCCCTCAAATTCCATTTCCATGATTTAACAGTGCAAAAAGGCAGGTCCAGAAATGTCTATAAAGTTCATGTAGTATTGAGCATGTGAAGTGCAAGAAAGTAAGCAGGGTGATGGAATAATCACAGGCTCAGAGTGCACCTCTGGGACTGAGGAAGAAGCTGAAGAGGCTAGAAGGAAGAAAGTAAGTGTGGGAAGTTCAGAAGAGCAGCTGGAGGAATTAGAAAACTATAGAAGTCATGAAGTTGGTTATGAAATTCAACCCAAAATCCTGTCTGAGAGCTGTAATTCCCCAAATGAACCCAACAGCAATATCAGTTTACTACCCTGATAAATATCCTTTAAATACATAATTTCTGACATAACCAAATAAGTATGAAAGGCTAAGTACTTATACCACAATTGCTTTGCAAATGAATGAATCTCACTATATAGTTACATTCAGAGTGATTCTTTGAGCTTCCCCTGGGATAAATCACCTAAAAATGGTGCCCCTTCTTTTACAAATTCTTCAAAGAAAGAACTCGATTAATTTCTTGATAGCACTAGTATGTTATGCTTAAAAAAAAAAAATAAATTGTTCTTTAGCTGACACAAAGGTGAACATGCTTTGAGATTTAAGCATTAAAGTCTGGCCGAACACCTGTACAGCTAAGGATCCTCAGCTCCCTCTAATGTTGCTGTGTAGTCATTTTATGCTACTGCTTATACATTTGCACAAAAGGGCAACTGAAGGAACTACCTAAACCTTATTAAAAGCATTATTGCTTCAGACTGATATCAAAGTAAGTTTCTGCAATGCCTTTAAAAGTGAGACATGCATTAAAGAGATTGTTCTTTTCTTCTTCTTTCTGTTGATTCACATGGCAAATCAACTAGCAGTTACTGCAAAGGAATGTGTAGACAAGTAGCAAGTGATTGCTGGAGCTTATTTTTGGTTACAGACAAACCCAAATCTTCATCTGTTGTCCAGGAAACTACTAGTCATAACCAAGGAGTAAACTCAGCATAAGATAGCATAGGAAGTTTATGGGCCATGCAGCTGTCTGTACAATGCATGATCATGTGTAAATGACAAGTAAATATAGGAAAATTTAATAGATTTACAACTCAGAATTAATTTAGAGAAAAGTTTACTCCAGAAGAATCTAATGCATTCTTCTAATGCTGTCTTCATTTCACCATTAAGTAAAATTTTCAGTGATGCCTTGTCACATACTTGCTCTGCTCATTTTGACAAAGCTGTATTAAAGCTCCTTGAAGTTAGGTGTACCATAAAATAGCTTTTTCCTGACCTTGAGTTCTCATGATTTTTGTCATGAAAAAATTGCGCTAGATTACTCTCTTCCCTTTGGACAGAAGATACTTTTTCAGAGAAATAAGTTTATCAAATATGGGAATATATAAAAACCAAAGTATTTTGGAATCCTTTTTTTGTCTGTGAAGATCAAGAACAGACCTACAGTTCTACAAAGCACAGCTGGCAAAGGCAAGAAAATGTTAAAAAGACTGGACATGCGGTAGCCCAGATCATCTTTTTATTCATCAGTAAAATGTCCAGAGAGTAAAAAGGTAAAGCTAAGACATACTTCTGCTAGTAATAAAACCCTGTGCCTGGTGAAATTTTCCTATTGGGGAACTGAAAAGATCATCTCAGCCTCAATATACGGATGGTATCACCTGCACTGTATAAGCATTACTAGGCATCACGCAACTGGAAATTTGTGAACTTCCTACCAATCCACATTGAGTAGTTCAAATCTAAACTAGTTGTACATTAGTGAGTTCTCAAAATGTTTCAACTACATATTGATCATAGTCTGTTCATGCAATTTTCCAAACCCTTTTCCCCTCTGAGTAGCTTTGCCTGAGCCTGACAATCAAGAAATAAAAATAAAAGCTATAGTAATGTCAGCTGCACGTTTCAAATGATTAGAAGGAAGATACAGAACACTATTACTGAAACATAGTGGTGGTGAATTGTAGCTATCATAAAAGTACAACCTTGGACAACTTATCATTCTTGCTACTACAAAGACTGGGAAGACATGAGGGTTTTGAGGTATCTCCATTTTCAGTCATGTCTTCTTTTTTTTTCCTAGAAATCTGCCTAGTGGTTTAACTGTTATTATAGATTTACCACAAACATGAGTAATAAATTTTTTTCCAGCAGAGGGAAGTATTGCCTAAGTGTTCTCTTCACAGCAAAATGGACAGTTTTTGTTTTCTGAGTGAAGATCTTCTGATCTCGAAGTCTGAAGAGTTTGGCAACAAATTAGTAACTGTGAGAATTTTATCAGCCAAACAATACAAGAAAGGAAGATCTGGTGATCACACTGTGAAAATTAAACAAGCAAAAAAAAAAAAAAAAAAACAACAACCCCAAACCAAATGATGCTAAAGCAACCCCATACTGAAAGCACCCGGGACCTATTGCAAGGAGCATCCTGATCTTAAGAGCTGTTACTGTGGCACCTACAACACAGACCATTCCATATTTAGCCAAGGTAGTTAACTATGTGTTTGGTTATCATCCTATGCAAACTATATGAAGCAGCATTTACATACTTCTTGCTGTTCTGAAGGAGATATGACTCTTTTCTGACATAACATGGCTATTCTGATGGTATTATCAGGTAAGTGAAGCAGAAAAATTAAAATGCTTAAAGCTGTTAACTTGAGGAAAAACAGAAAAACCCTTCAGTCCTTAGTGTCTGATCCAGGCCATTGTAAGCAATCTAAATTGGGGTAATGATGTATTATATTCCTCTTTTGCAGATGTTCAAGACAATTTCACCAACAAATCATTCATGTACTTCCTACTCTACTCATGCACAGTCTGTAAACTACGTACAAATTAGGTGTACTTTAGCCACACCCGTAACTCACCATGATGCTGCAGGTCTGAGCAGTGGGTAAGCGGGTCTCCATTTCGGATGTCTTGCCGCCTAGTACGCCTGCAAATATCATATTTGAAAACTGTTAGTGACCTTCTCAGTGGTCAGCACTCACATTTGCCATGACTGAAGAGCAACAAATGGAACATGTATAGGTCACAAGTGCACCTAAAGAATGCTAGGGAGGAAATCGTATTGTTACAATTATGTTCTATGCATTATCATAGTTTGTAGAATCAGCCTGTACTCTTACAGGTAAAGTCTTCAGAAACTTGTAAATGCATATCTCTTGCACTGAGCCTATGGAGTTTATGTTAATTGTGTTGGCAGTACTGATCACAGACAAACTCATTACTTGATTCATAGATACAGGGACTGCTAAGGAATCAATGTATATACAGTACAGTTTAACGTGTCAAAAAACTTGAAGAAGCTCTGGCTTTTCTGCAAGTACAGAATACTTTAAGTGTCATGACATCTTTTAGATAAATGAAATGTTAGGATAGGTGGCTTTGAAAGATTGTCAAAGTGCTGTATTTTCTACAAAATCTAAATTAAAATACATAGATCATTTCAGACACTACAGACCTCACTGAAACATTTTTGATAAAACCTTTTCCAAAACTGTTGCAAATGGCTTTGTCTTTAGAATAAACAGAATAGGGAGATTTTGAAATGTCATTGATTCCATCTTTCGTAGCTTGAGTCTTGGTTCTAGCTTTTATTGCATGTCCATTTAACATAGTATATACTTTCCCCAGTTTGATTTCCACTGGCTTTTTTGAAAAACATTGATCTGTGCTAAAAAATGTTGTATTTCAGAGAAGAAAGCTTTTTAATACAGTTATATTTTGCATTTGTTGTTCTCTCTTTGTCTGTTCCTATTTGTATTTAAATAGCTGTGACACAAAATTCAACTGAGCCAGAGAAAAGCGTTTCATATTAAAAAAAAAAGAAAAAAAGAACCAGGCAAACAAAGATGTGTTTCAAGTGTGAGCACTTTACTTTAGGAATCTGAGAAAGCCTGAGGGCTTGCAAAATTAGAGGAGAACAAAGAGGATTAGGCTGCTGAACAATGCTGTGATTTCAGATTATGGCATCCAGCAACGGATATGCAAAAGTCAAGTAGCCTTGTAAAAAGCACTGTTGGTCCCTCCCTTGTGACAACAGCCCACATTTTTAAGAAGCCATTGTTCTGCAGTCCAGAGACCATCTCCTGTTCACTAGCCCTGTTTGCAGGCTCTCACTAACAGCCCAGCATCAGCACATACTAAGAGTTCTCAGAGGCACCATCAGCTGCACAACTGACTCCGCTTGGCTGAAGATTTTAACCATGTTTTTTCCCACTTAAAGCTACTCAAGTGTTAAACCTGAAATTAGTTATGTGAAGTATGGCAACACGGTTTTTCGAAAGAAAAAAAAAAAGTCAGAACACGCGCTTTTTTTCTGTGCACTTTTTCTGAATAAAAACTTCCTTAAAATTGTGAATTAGGACGTCTTAGCATGCTCAGTAAGAAGGAATCTTCTGTTGATGAATATATGATGCAAAAAAAGTACTAATCCTAATGTCAGATATCATCTTCATATTACTCATTACCAATGAATAAAGTTACACCCAAGACATAAGGGACCATAAAATTGTGTTACTCCTTCCTAAATTTTGAAATGCAGCATATTTACAGGATACTCTTAGTAGAAAAGTAGTCTGTGGAAAGACTCATATTACTGTCAATGGAGTTTGGATGAAATGTTTGGTTAGATTCTCAGGAAAATGTTGCACATATCACCATTGTATCAACACTGTGATTTATGAAATGTGAACCAGAACACATCTGCATGGGGTAAAGTTAAGTGGTCACACTACAAGAGCTCTGAACTGTCATTTAGACTTGTAAAATACACAAGGAAAGAAAAGTAAATTAAAATCATGGCTCATAAAAGCTCCTTTAAAAAAAAAAAAAAAACAACAACAAAAAAGAAGAAAAAACCAAAAAATAAAACCCCAAACCCAACTACTAGTAAAGCATCTGCAATCGCCTCAGGACTCAACTTTCCCAATATTTCTGGAGCCTAAAATTACAAGGATTCATTATTAGGAAAATGTTGACATTTAAGCTGTTTCCAGCAATGCTGATTTTGTCACAGACACATCAAAAGCTGAGTTGAGGCAGTGGGTACAGCAGGTACCAGGCAAACAGAGGATCCTCTTCCCCACAGACCTTTATCCTGCTGCTGCTGAGAGAAAAATGGGGGATAGTGGAGGGGACAGTGGCTTTTTCGGAATGCATTGCCAGGATCCCAGCCTCCCAGGACTTACTTTTTCTTTCATACTGGCCTCAGGAAGAGTAAATTCTGCACCAAATGGTTTTCCTGTGCAACCCAGTTTAGCCCCAGTAACCCTGCCCCTTAATCCCTGTAAAAAGAGGTCCCAGTCCCTTCACCCCTGATGGCAACAGTGAGCTCAGTCTGCTGTTTAATCAATTGGAGAGACGGATAAGGAAAAGCCAAAGGGCCCTATTTCTTCCATCAGCGTAAGCAGATGAATGGCAGGGTAATGTACTCTATGGGTCCTGAGATAGGCTGGGGGTAGGAATGGGTGCTAGCGAATGCTGAGAAAGGATGAGGTTCGGGGATAAAGATTAGTAGGGAAGTAGCAGAAAGAATGACTCTGATTCCTGACCTTACTGCCTCCTCCGACTCAAGCAATACTCAACCACACTGACTTCTAACCCTTAAAACTTTCAGACCAAATTAACTTCTCAGACTCTCCTTGAAAACCTCACTGTTCCTTCTCCTCTCTTTCCTCTTCCTCCTCCAGAGAAACTGCTGTGCTCTCACCACAAATTTTAATTCAGCCCATGCAGCTGAGAAAATCTGACCAGCTCTACTTTTGGGATGGGTTCAGTTTCTCCTTTTTAATTCTTTGCTAAAGAATTTCACAAAAAGCTTGTCTCAGATTAACTCTGTTTCCTGGTGCAAAATAGAACCTGATGTTCCATAAGTAGCTTTTTCTTTTGTCATCAGTATTTGTTTAGGATACATTGTAATGCAAACCTTGAAATTTTAATCCCCTCCATCTGAAAAGTCTGTGGCACAAATGCTACTTCTTACCCTTTACCACATTTCATCTCCTGCAACAGCCAATCCAAATCTGGAATTTGGAATCCCTGCATTCTCAACTAAGTATTCGCTATTAATTTTAAAACAAAGATGTAGGCTCCTTATGCATACAAATCCTTGGAGTCCTTGTTTCTTTAAAATTGTGAGGTGTTTGGCATATTCATAGAATCATAGGATCATAGAATGCTTTGGGTTGGAAGGCACCCCTAGAGGTCATCTAGCCCAACCCCCCCGCAGGAGCAGGAACACCGCTAACCAGATCAGGTTGCTCAGAGCCCCATCCAACCTGACCTTGAATATTTCCAGGGATGGGGCCTCCACTACCTCTCTGGAAAACCCATTCCAGTGTTTCACCACTTTCATTGTAAAAAATGTCTTCCTTATATCCAGTCTAAATCTACCCTGTTTTAGTTTAAAACCATTACCCCTTATCCTGTCACAGCTGGCCCTACTAAAAAGATTGTCTCCACCTTTCTTATAGGCCACCTTTAAGTACTGAAAGGCCGCAATAAGGTCTCCCTGCAGCCTTCTCTTCTCCAAGCTGAACAAACTCAACTCTCTCAGCCTGTCCTTGTAGGAGAGGTGCTCCAGCCCTCAAATAATTTTTGTGGCCCTCCTCTGGACCTGCTCCAACAAGTCCATGTCCTTCTTGTGCTGAGGGCTCCAGAGCTGGACACAGTGCTTCAGGTGAGGTCTCACCAGAGCAGAGGGGCAGAATGACCTCCCTCAACCTGTTGGCCATGCTGCTCTTGATGCGGCCCAGGATATGGTTGGCCTTCTGGGCTGCAAGTGCACATTGCCGGCTCATGTCCAGCTTTTCATCCATCAGTACCGCCAAGTCCTTCTCGGCAGGGCTGCTCTCAATCCTTCCATCCCCCAGCCTGTATTGATACTGGGGATTACCCCGCGCCAGTTGCAGGACCTTGCACTTGGCCTTGTTGAACCTCATGAGGTTCACACAGGCCCACCTCTCCAGCCTGTCCAGGTCTCTCTGGGTGACACATCGTCGAGAGAAGGATGTTGTGGGGGACCATGTCGACAGCTTTACAGAAGTCCAGATAGATGACATCTGTTGCTTTTCCCTTGTCCACTGATGCTGTTGCTCCATCATAGAAAGCCACTAGGTTCATCAGGCAGGATTTGTCCTTTGTGAAGCCATGCTGGCTATCTCAAATCACCTCCCTGTCCTCCATTTGCTTTAGCATAGCTTCTAGGAGGTTCTGTTCCATGATCTTCTCAGGCACAGAGGTGAGGCTCTGACAGGTCGGTAGTTCCCAGGGTCCTCCTTTTGATGCTTTTTAAAGATGGGTACAATGTTTCACTTATTCCAGTCCCCAGGGAAATCCCTGACTGCCATGACTCTTCAAATATCATGGAGAGTGGCTTGGTGACTACATCGGCCAATTCCCTCAAGACTCTGGGATGCATCTCATCAGGTCCCACAGACTTATGTATGTTCAGGTTCCTCAGCTGGTCACAAACTTTACAGTGAGAGGGGCTTTACCCTCCCAGTCCCCATCTTGTCATCCAATTCAATTTAATGTGAGCACTTTTTTATCATTTTAGTCAATTTATCATGGGAATCTCAACACTACAACAAAACTGTTCTTATTTGCAAGTGATTATCAATTCAGTTATTCCTAAATTCTACTTCAGTAGCTAAAAGCTGTTCAGTAACTAGCCTATATACTTAAAGAGAAAGAATTTCAGAGATAAAGGCAGGCAAAGGAAATATTATTTTAAATCTTCAGATCAGGCAACAGGGACTTGTAAAATTTTTATAAAAATTATATTTTTCACTTGCAGAGTGTTTTCCCTTAAACCTTGCATTGCAAAGCCTTTAGCATCAGTACAGGGTGAATGTAAAATGGTGATTTTTCTGATCTGGTAGCATTTAGACACACATCAAGACATAAAAATTATTCTTTTGAATAATAAAAATAATGTTATCTATCACTAAACAATAAATTCCCATTCATGTCCAAACACTTGATAAATATTTCTTTGAATTAGAATTCATGGCAATGAAGGACAATTTACTTGGGCAAGTAATGCTTTTATTTTAATATCAAGTTAGAGAATAGCATGTTAGAGAAAGGGAATTTTTTCTTTTTCTTTTTATTACTGATTATAAAGTTATTAATCCATTTCAGAGACAACTTTTTTCTGAATGTTTTTTTAAAACAGCTTTTTAAGCCAACCCAAGAAGTAGCAGTGTTCACTTTAAATCAACCAAGACTTCATATTGCTTGTAACTCCCACAATTATGTTTTCTTTGGAAGAGAAAGCGCTCCAGTTAACCATCCCATGAAAAATCTCCAAAGCCCTCTAGTCATATTGAGACCATCAGTTAAAACAAATAGCAAACCATGCAGACATCTGAAACTGTCCCTACCTCTTAGCAGTGGGGAAGTAACGTGAGCAAGATGAACCATCCCAGGCACAGTAAGGGTCTCTCGCAAGGCAACACTCAGCACATGCTTTTCCATACACATCACAGCGGTGTAAAGGAAGCTGTGAAACTCCGGTGGCTGAACCAATGTAGAGCTGTTGCTGTTATAAAAGTTAAAAAAAAAAAAAAAGATTAAAAAAGCAAATTACCAGGTTTTTGCTAGGAAAGCATTAAAAAAAAGTTATATAACAATATGTTAGGACCATTACAAATGCAATAAAGGAACATGATCCTGATGCACATTAAAGGAATGAGAAAAGAATTGTCCTCAGGACAAAAACAATCAAATAGGAAAAACTTTCATTTTTGTATGAAGCTCTCGGTGGCTTCTCCAAACAGTAACAAAAATTAAAGTACTCTTCCATTTTTTCTTTTGTATTCAGACCCCTGCACTGGGAAAGCACTACAGTCAGTCACCGGACACAATGGAGAATATGTTTCTGAATTTAAAGAAAAAGAAAAACCACTTTAATGTAAATTTCATATATGTGACTTTGATTTGTGTAGGTGTGGGGGGAAACCTAAAGTAAATTATTTCAGACTGATGCTAAGATATTTCACCTTGGAAGTGCTGCCATGCATGCACTTCTTTGTATATCTGATAATTCTGATGCTTCATACTCTCTTCTGTAGGTCGCATACTCTAATTGAAATATATCTTTAACGAGGGAAGATGGTTTGCTTTATTTTGGATAAAAAACAGTGTTGAGTGGAAGATGTAGTTCAAATGCAGAGAGAAGTCATGAAGTAAATAAAAAAGCACGCATACAAAATGAACTATGGCTTTGTATGGCATCACAACAGAATATCTTCTCTCTCTCAATTTCCTCTCTGATATCAAATTCCTGTGGTCCATTAGGGAAGTTGGTCCCCAGAGGGATACAAGGAAACTTAACTACTGATCCCACATGAAAGTCCAGAGAAATTTCAGCTTAGCACTAATTCATAAAGCAACAAGTATGAGTGTAGTAAGCAAATAAATTTCCCTCTGAGATGTAAAACTCAGGAAAACAAAATAAACAGATAAACAAAAATGAAATGGCATAATCCCTCTGTTTTGGAAACACTGACACTCTGCTGTCAAAAGCTTAAACTTTGTCACCCAGCACCCATGGTGGAGCAACTAACACATCTTTTTAAGGTCTCACTCCAAGCAGTCCCACCAAGAAAATACAAATTTGGATTCATTTTTCTTTCTTAGAAAACATAAGGCTGGTGTGAAAAATAGGATTTCAAGAAATGTTATCAAAATTCCTCATCTCCTACATTGTGATGTCCCAGAGGTACCACTTCTAGAGAATTCAGGGATAGAAGGTGGTTGAGGTCTCCTGCCTACTAGAAATGATGAGCACTGGATACCAGGAGACAGAAAAACCAAAACCACTCATAGAAGGCATTGTGTTAACTTCTTTCAGAGACAGCAGCTTGGCAGTTTAAACAGACATACTAATTGTAACAAAAACATCCCGTGCATTTATATGAACACCAGTATTTTCTCAAGGAAAGTATGACAAGGAAAGCACCCAAAGGAAAATTCACTGGCAAATTGAAAACTAAACCCTTTCTAAGCAGCTGCTTCCGTCTATTACAGTGCCATAGCTGGGTTGTAAAACCACATTCTCTGGGCAAAAATCTCTGACTACACAGAGCTCAACACAAAGCCTCGACTGTACATACCAGTCCCCGGTTAGTGCTGGATCTTTGAGAAGCAGACAGGCAGCGGATATAATAAGCTGATTCTCTCTAACTTAAATCACTTAATGAAGTGCCCAGCTTAGGGGTACGTTCCACAGTTAAAAGAGCAGCAATTCAAATCTTAGGTGACCTAACCATTTCTCAAGGGATGCTTTTTCTCTTTACTGGTTATGGAGGCAACATAGGTCAAATTAGAGCTTCAGTTAAGTATCTTAAATGTCCAGATGGTATTGATCTCAGTTCTATGTAATTGGGGCATTAATATCTATATAAGCATGTAGCAATATGTGGTGCAACTAATATAAAAATCAACCCAGAGAATGCACATGGGAAAATAAAGAATGGTGTAATGGTTTCCTATGCACCCCTGTAACCAATTTCATTTTGTCAAAACCCCCTCCCTAATTTCTAATAAATGTCTGCAGAATTAAAGAATGACCAGAAACACATAAGAAAAAAAAAAAAAAAAAAAACAAACCAAAAACCTGAGGCCAAAATAGGGTTACTTAAAGACTCTTCCTTGTAGATAAGTTCATAAAGTTCAGTCGGTGAACTACACCATGTGTTTCAGGTGCTGCACAGCCTGAAGGCTGCTGCATCATTTGTTGCTCTTCTGATCATGGTTTTAGACTCCAGCTGGTGATCATTATTCTGGACACTAATAATATATAAATCCAGGCAGTATGAAATTCAGAAAATAGTAATAGAATGATTTGCATCAATGATCTGACCTTAACCTTGCCATACACAGTCAAACTGCCTTTTGGGCAAAGAGTGTCTCCCAAGGGGTTGTTAATTTAATAAATCAGCTAATTATCAGATCAAATCAGAGGGAGGAGAAAAAAAGTCGTCCTCTAAAAATTCTTGCAGACATATAGTAAGTGTAGAAAAGCTGAGGAGACTAATGTTTTAAGCAATCCAGTGGTTTCTGTTTGCCCCATGGTGCTGCCCAAAATGCAGTCTTTCTTTAGACGTCAGACAAAAAGATAACTGAAAATTTTTCATTTGCAATTAAAAAACAAAGAGAGATGAACACATGTAATGCTTACAAAGAAAAAACTTAGGCAGAATTGTAAAAGGAAATTCATGGAGCATGAAGTTGAAATCCCATTTATTTTAATTTTATGCCTTGAAAAGTAACTGATACAGAATAGTTCAGGGGGCTGTTTAAGTGACATAACCATTTTGAGCTAGTCCTTTCTATATGCTCACTACGGACAGAAATTATGATCTCTGAATAAAATTCAGTACTTTGTGAAAAGTACCATAAAAGTAGTCACTAAGGTTTTTCTGAAGCTCTCTGCCTTGCCTTTGACTGAGAATCTTATGGAGGAGAAGCAAAAGCTCTTCATAGCAGTTCACCAGACCAGGAGGTGGCCTGTATCAGCCAAGGATCTCCTTGGGGTTTTTTTTCCCATATTACCAGAAATCCAATGGGTTTTTGAAACAGCGGATCACAAACCTGACCCTGGAGAAAAAGATGAGAGCTTGGTCCACAAAAAGTCACCTTCAACTGAAAGCCAGGCCTGACTTTTTGGCCTGCTTCCATATTTTTAAATCAAGGGAAAAATTATGGAACCCCACCTGACTTGGCTCAGGGCCAAGTGGTAGCCAGGGGCTCCCTGCAAGTTTGGCTTCCACCAAATTATGAATTTAGGCAGCTGAAGGGTGTTACAGTGGCTCTATGATGCTGTCCTCTGAAGGTTTGTGTCTATTGCTAACCATGCATAAGGTGTTTATGTGATAAGGTTACACAAGCCTAGGGCTCTGAACAGAATGAGAAGGAATACATAGCTTCAGTGAGAAAATATAAATATAATTCCTGTGAGTTAAAGAGAGCAGAGTTGAAAGGCTGCATCAAGGCTTAGTCTTGCACATAAAGGCTGAATTTCCTTGCTCAGCGTCACTCTTGCTCAAGGGCCAAATTCATACTCATAGACACATGGAAGCCTTAGAGTTTTATATAATTTAAAACTTATGCTAAGTTCTCCTCCTGAGGAATTTTTAGATTTTGGTCTTTAGGAAGAAGAGTCATTTGTAACATGTCATATTGGCACGATGGCAAAAGAGGCAGCTTTGAATAACCAGTGTAGTAAAACATTCGAAAATAAGAGGAAACTCCCTGTGCCATGTTTTTGTAGTTGGATGAAAGAATTGTTAGTGAAAAAATAAAATGAAGTGTTTGCTTTAAAGTTATTCAATAGGACATGCTGGTTTTACTGTTTACATTTCATGCTCCTGCTTTTTACGATGCATAGAATTATCGTGCTGTTTATGTGAAAAACGCGCTGCTTATCAGAACACGAGTAAAGTGTTTGAGTTATAAAACTACGTATTTTTAAATTATAAATTTTAAATGGAAACATGTTGCCATATACTTATTTGATACAGAGATGCAGTGCCAAAAGCTTGTCATACTGTATCATGATTCTGTCATTTTTAGCCTGAGGCTGGTTGATTTTTCATGAGTTTAACTCTGCCTGAATAACTTGTGTTTTATGCTCTTTTCTAGCTTTAGACAGTTTTAGCAGTGTAAATTTGTTTTCAAAAGGCTTACGGCAAATTGCAATCTCTCCTGAATAACTAAACGATGCTTGGAAGAAGTTGTATGAAAATGCATGGTCCATTATCAAATATGACTGGGTGCTTTAAGGAAATGTACTTATAAAAATAACCCAAAGCAGAGCATTTGGGTGTGATGTGAACATATATACAACTTGACAGGTTTGTTTTTAAATATCCCACTATTCAATAGTACATTTTTTTTGTCCTGCCATTTGTATTGTCTTAGGTGGTAAACTATGTTAGAAGAGTGTCCCCAAACAAAATGTCTTCTGTCAAATACATGAATGTTTTCAGATAACTTTCCTAAATACAGTGAATTCTGAGTTAGATATGCAGCATTTCAAACATAATATTGGGCTCTGTCCACTACAGGATGAATTCAACTTCTGTTTAATAATGTGTAGAATGAAGTAGATGAATTAATTAAATCTTACTTATAACACACACAATTTTTAGTGCACCCAGTCCTGGAAGTAATACCAAATCTCCTCTTTACTGACAATGACATTAATGGAAAAACTAATGAGTGTGAACACATTGCTTGTATTTACTGAATTAGTCTCCAAATCAACACAAATGTGAAAAAGAAAAAAAAATGTTTATTATGTTAAATTTGACACTAAATTTTATGTCTCAGACTTCTGAGACAGAAAATGACAGTTGCTGGGATCCATCCATCTAATTCCAGGCAGAACTGGAAGATAGGCCCCTAATACCCACTTCACTCCTGGACTGTAACCCAGCGTTCTTTGCATGACTACATAATTCATCAGCTGCTTCACAAAGAAGATTAATAATAATTGCCCATGTTTGCTCAGAAATGCAGGAATCACCTTTACCGTAAACCAGATAAAACTTTACCTCCATCCATCAAGAAGTCCAGTTCATTTTAGTTATGGTCTGGTCTACAACAAAGGCTATAATACATGTCTTTTCTTTAAGAAGTTAGTTATTAGTGCACTCAACAGAAAGCAGGAAATATAAATTCTGGAGTCTGGAACCCATATCTTAACCACGGCACTGAACCTGAAGGCCATGGAAAATTTGGACTAAATCAGATCTACCCTCTTTGTTAAAGCTGAATGGTACACATCCAGGAATAGCATGGGCACTGGATAGAAAGACAGAAGGATGTCTCATTTCCAGTCTTTGCTTCCACTATCTGCATTTTGTAGTAGGTTATTCCTACGGGGACTAGAACTATTCCTATTAAAGCAAGGGACCAAGTTTGGCCACTCTTTTTTAATAGTTTCTATGTCATGAGAACATTCTGTAATGAGGATTTTTTTTTTTTCTTGAGAGCCTACAAAGGGCTGGTTAGTTTGTGTTTAGTTTCCACCTTACCAGTAAGTAACACAAACTAGACTTTTCCTTTCTCCTTTGCATGTCACATTTTCCTGAGAAACTACTGATGTTTATGTAAAGGGATGGGATGCTGCTGATGTAATTAATATGCCTCTACTGACTGCCAAGTTACTGTCTCTAAAAGACAGAGACCAATAAATATTTAAAAGTGATTTAAAGTTTGTGCACATAGTACCTGTTTTGTGGAAATCTTCATTGCTGAAATAACAGTGGGTTCCTGGGGAAAAAAAAAAAAAAAAAAAAAGAGTTAAAATATAAAATGAGGTCGATAAACATAAAAATTCTGCTAGAATGCTATTTGCCCATGAAATTAAACTAGACAATCCTTAGTAATAGTGCTTCCTGTTCTCTCTTGCAGTGGGATAGTTTCCAGCTGTAAGTGAATGAGAATGCATGTACATATCCGGGTGCATCTTTGATTGATATGTTGATTGTAGACATACTGTTTTCCATTACTATTATAGTTCCATTGTGATTACTTTGTTTACTAGTTTCGCATCTTGAAATTAATTTCTACACTGAATATTAAAACTGCATTTAAAGAATCTCCCAGGTAATATGAAAATAATAACGGCCGTATCAAAATATGTAGATGCTATACATTAAAGGTGATAGCACTGAAATAAACAACATATTTTAACCACATCAAGGTGAAAAATCTATTCCTGCACAATTTTATTTGTAAGAACAAATCTTGATCCCAAGCATCTTGTTGACTACACCACACTACTCACGTACAAAGAAATTACTCATATTTGCAGAACACAGAAGGAAAACCGGCAAGAGTTTTTTTTCACCCTGGAATACCCATTCTTTAATCAACCAAATGAGTCACTAGGAGAGTTATTGTTCTCCTAGCTAAGTCGACTCTTAATTATACTTCTCTGTAGCAAGCAGATGTCAAACCAGGATCTACTTTCTTACAGAAGAGTCTGTAGGAAATATTTAACAGAATAAGTATGTTTAGATCTGATTAAAAGACTGTTACACCTTTTAGGCCCAGCTGCTTGAATGGGTTTTAATCCTGTGAGTAAAAGTGGCGTAATTTGGTTACAAAATGTTCAAGTCAACTCTGCATGAACCTTATTCCATCTAAAAATTTACTATTGATCCCATGCCATTGAACTACTTTTGGGTTTGTACATTGATAAAGTCCTTATTAAGCTTTTACACTTGTGTAGCTTTCAACTTGCTTATCCTGAGACAATTTGGTATGGGTCAGTGGATGTTAAGCATGTGGACTTGCCTTTACAAATGGGTTAAATAGACCTTATATTAGAAAGCATCAATTAAGTGTAACATTTGAATGAAAATTGAACTCATTAGTTTGTTTGCTCAGCTGTTCAGAGAAATATTGCACAAATGGGGTTAAAAGAGGCATTTGTTATCAACGTAACAGATATAGAAGTTTCTTGGCATTATAAATAAAAAGCATTGCGTTCTGCACATTGCAGCTTAAGCATCAAAATACATTATGATGCACATAGACTTTTTAGTAACTAAAGAAAACTTACATTCAGTTAAGGTACATGTAAAATCTGTTGCAAGTTCCCTATTGAAAGATCTTATGCATACAAATTTTGCTTATTCCACTGAAGTACCTTAATGCCCTCTTTGAGGCTTAAATACGTGCCAAAGGAGATAAATGAGCTTCCAAGTAAATCAGAACACCAAAATCCTTTTGTGTAACAAATAAATACACATGTAAAGTAAAATACCAGATCTGAATTTGCCAGTAAACATTCTACTTCTATAAAGCCTTTCTAAAATAAAAATTGCACTCTATTTGTTTTCTTTCTTTCTTTCATTTTTAAATTTCTTCTAGCTCCTTTAACTTGGCACTTCTACTTGATTTAGGGAAGAGGCTCATACATTATCAACGACTGCCAAATTATCCTGCATGAATGTAGTGACTTTTGCATGTATAAAAAAGAAAAAAAATCTGGGAGCAACAAATTACTTGTCTCATTTCTCCTCATAGTTTCTACTTTCTTTTTCTGTTAAAGAAGAGAAAGAAAAACCCCCCCACATTTCTGCCTTCAAAGAAACCATGGATTGCAGAAACAGAGATATAACCCTTTTTTCAGTGGTATCTTGCACTCAGAACAGTGGGTTCTGTGCAAGACTGGTACCAGTAAAGGCAAGATTACCCGTAAGAAAAGAAAAGTTTGGAAAATAATAATAAAAAGAGTTGCAGGGTCTGTTTAGTTACGTTGAATCTGACCAGAAACCAAAGATAAAGGGGCAGCAACTGAGTATGATGAGGACATGGTGGCTGAGCCCCTGTGGCAGGTTCGGAGCACAGTCCTTGTCAGCACATCTGGAATGAGACCATGCGATGTGGGGCTCTCCGAGCGTGCAAGCACCATCTTCACGCTGTCAGATTAACCTTGCCCTCCCAGCTAGGTACCAACCCCCCGAAAGCCTGGAGCCTGTGAAATGGTGCTATAAAACGGCACTGACAAAAAGAATAACGTGGGGAATGTAAATGATTCGTTGTGTACAAAACACAAGACATCCCTGGGTTCTGTCTGGAAAGCGTTTGAAAGGTTTACTCAGCCTTGACGTGCAGGAGTGCCTATAGTATGCCTGATTTTTTAGGTGGCTCAGATGGGAAAACTGGAAGAGACTGATTTTCACAAAAAAGTACTAAAGATTAGGGGGTGTTTATTGTATCTTTTGTCAAACCATGAAAATGAGACCATAAAGTCACCTTTGAAAATACAAAAACTTTCTTTGTTTCTCAGATTATTAGGCATAAGAAAACAGTGCAGACCACTGTTTTTCCTAAAGTTTCTTCCTAGAGTTATATTATGCTGATAGTTGGAATATTGTTAAGAGTTTATGCATCTATAAAATTAATGTATTGCATATATTGGTGGAAGAAAACGCAGGCATTATTCCCAGACTTGCACAGATACATGTTTAACTGAAGCATGGAACGGCACTAAGATTCAGAGGAAACAATTTACTTTTTTAACCTCAAAACAAGAGCCCAGAATGCCATTTCTTTTATCATTAACCTCCAGCTAGCACTGAATGTTTCAAGGTTTATTTTGACTAGAGTCTGGGTCTCTAAATGACAAGCTAATTAGAGGGTTATGCCAGGCTATTCCTTGGCTAGACTGCAAGAAGTTTAGTTTGCAGCTGTCCACAGAGAAATCTACAGCCTGACACTTGAAATTTAGCCACACTTACCCGAAAGACTGTCATTTCTTCCAACAAGACTTCCTCTAATTCATGCCAAGTCTCCTTAGGAATTGAAACCACTTTAAGAACAGTTCCAATATCTTGAAAAGGAAAAAAAAAAAGTTTTCAGGTGCTTTAGAAGCATATTTCAGTTTCAGAGCAGCCAGGGTTTCTTGTAGTACGTAATTATTTCACATATAAAGACTGTGAAGATACATATCACCAAGCACTCCTTCAAAATACGAACTGCCATTTAAAATAATCTTGAGAAACATTAAATTTCAGTAGGACATTTCACTGAAGTCGTTCAATTATCAAAATGCAACAAAGAAGATAAATACTGCTATAGGATATTAAAGAATGAAAAGGACTGAAATACTATATAAGTGACAGTATAAAATGACGGATGTTTCAGTCATTTAATTGAGGAAGGAAATGCACTAAATTTAGCCGCGCATGTTTTATTGTCCATTTTAAATATGATGTTTGTCATTCTTAAAATGCATGTGAAGATGCTGTCAGAAGGCTCTGTGTGGATATAAAAACATCTGGACAAATGTTGTTTGACAGATGAAGCCGTTAGATCTCTTAAGTACAGGCGATCTTCCTCGTGTCAAACAAAGTACCTAAGATGTATAAGCCCCTTAAGGCATCTGTATTTCTCTGTGTGTTGGATACTAGTCTTTGCTGATGGGTAAAAAGCGATACAACTTGTATCTTCTGTTTAGAAATAGGTGTGTGCCAGCATTTTAATACTATATCCATTTACATTCTTGGGGTTTTGCAATTGACTTTAACATGAACAAGGCCAACGCTTGAAATTCCAGAGCTACAGCCTCTGGTTTTGTGAATATGGTTGAGACCATTTCTGTTTTACAGCTTCTGCATCTGTGATTTTGTTGTTTGTTTCCATGAACACATTTTTCAGGGAACAACAACTGAAAAAAAGAATTGTTTCTAGGTTGGTACACATCACTGCAGACTCTCTGAAATAGAAACACTCTGTACGTGACTTTTCTTTTTAACCAGCCAAGTGTAGTGCCATGTAAACACATCATAGAAATAACAATGATGTCCCTGAGGATTCTTCATGTTGCACATTTGTGCAACAATGAGGACTTTTCATGTTGCACTACAGCAGTAATAGTTCTGGAAAATATAAGGCATTTTAAATGGATAAAATTCTCAAAGTAAAAAAAACTATAAACTTCAACATTCTCAAAATGAGAATTAACCTTCAATTATACAAAATCAAAACATATTTTTATGTATACATATCTGTGTGTATTAGTTGAAACTTCTGATTAAAAAGATGACAACTCACCTCTTCTATATTGAAAATACATATAGAATTGAAACAAATAGATGACACAGGTTGAAAATGTTTTTACAAGGTGACTAACTTAAAAGCTGTTGATTTCATGAGAAAATTATCTTTTTTGAACTTCTTTACATGAATTTGGATTAAAATATTCTAGAAATCCCAGAATATCCTGTAGAATTGAGATTTTCATTTTTCCTTCTGCTCCCCTTTAAGCAGAGGTTGGTTTCTATGTACATATTTTTTGAAGTTTAGAAAGAAGTGATTTTTTTTCCACAAAATATGTGCATCAGTGTTTTCTTTAATTAGTCACAAATTCATACATTCTTTTTTTAAAAAGGAAAAACCAGTTCTTTCTTAAAACAACAACAACAACAACTTTTTATTTAGGCAGCTGCACGTACAAACTAAACTAGTAAAATATACTAGATAAGTTGTTTTGGAAGTGATTTTCATTATGGTTACTGCTACTAATTGAATATATTTAATTAAGAAATACTGAGAACAACACAGAACAAATGCAATATAAACCTTAAACCAAGAAAAAAAATGCACATTTCCACAACAGAGTAATTCAGAACAACAGGTAATTTAACATTAGTTATATTTGTAATTTAATGGATGAGTTCATTTCCTTAATTATCCTGATAGATTGATGACTGTGGTTTTGAGGAAAATACATTGTATGGGTAAAAATGTAACAGTGTAGCAATGTATCATGACTGTATTCTGTCTATGACTGTCCTCAGTCACAATCCACCAAATGTCACATTCCAGAAATAAAGGAATTTTTGATAAAACAGCACAAGGGAAAATGTGGAGCCTGCGTGCGGCACTGAGCAGACAGGAGTTCCCCACATAATGTTGTTTCAAAAAAAGGTCTGACTTTTAAGTGGATCCTGCAACAATTACAGTCGCTTGATGCTCGAGAAAGCCTCTGAGGTCAAAGGTACACGGTGTTAATCACTACAGCGGCTCTCGTCAGGCCACAGGTACCAAAGTGGGGCTTTATCTGAGTTCTAGATCAAGTTTTACAGCGTAGTATTTCAAACAATTTCACACAAATGGAATCAGGCTTCTCCTTTAGGATCAATAGGCTCTGCTCAGTAAGATAAGATTACTGTTATTAATTTGCTTTACTGACAGATGTACCTTGACTGTGCCAAATGATCCCAAACATCAGACACTCAGGATATGCATTAAGTGCCTATCTTAAACCCTGTTTTTTTCTGATATAATTTCAAGCATGCCGATATGATTTTATTTCCATTGTGAAACACACTGGTACAATCACAGTAGGAAAGAAACTGCTCAGCTAAAGATTTCACCCACAGGAAAGGAAAATGTGACCACATTGGATGGCTATTAATTTTCTTGTGTGCAGTTATCATCAGTTGTTCAATGAAAAGGAAAAAAAAAAAGTATTTCTTCAACATACTGAAGTTCAGCAGCACGTGGGAATAATGTAGATTGCTGCAACAGCAGTGGGAAAATACAGAGAAATGTATCTAATCTGATGGGACAGACCCACATAGAGAAATCCAGTCATATAACAGAGAGCTTAATTCTGGCTTTGCCATAGGTTCAGATGATCAAGTGGGAAACTGGACTGTGACTGGAGTCCCTAATCTGCTCCCCGGTTTGTTCTTTGCTTGGGGAAGATGTAATATGCACTGATTGCCTATCTGTTTCTGGTTCCTTTGACTTTGACCAGCTGGCTCCCTGCAGCTTTCTGGCAGAAGGCAGACAGGGCCTCAGTTCTGCCTCTTCTCCTTTCCCCCTGCATGGAAGATGTCCTTAACTCGTTCTGAAAACCGCAATAAGGACAGTGAGCTCAGAGGAGCACGGAGCACCTTTTGTGCCCCAGCTCCAAGCACAGGTGTTGCAACGTCTGTTCTTGTTCTACGAGGGTATAACCTCCTGCTGGAAAACAAACAGTTCCTATGGACAAAAGTAGTATTTCAAGAAATAATAACACTCTGCACTTACGAAGCTGTGTTTTTGGTGCTGAAATCTCTTTTGGCAAGTGCAAGTAATAACCTTTCAATGCTTTTACAATTCTTGGGCACAAATATCAGCAATATTGGATGAGATCCAGAGCGCTTACCACACACCTGAATATTAATGGTTTAGGGAATTAGGTGAGTGCCTAAATTCCCAACTCAAAGGGAAGAGCTAGATAACATTGAGGCTCTTTCAGAGGGAGACTTTGCCTGACTAATGTAGATAAGAACCACTATATGTAATGATGACTATCTAAAAGCTATAGCTCAGGTTTAAGCAAGTCTTCCTGTTCTGTCTGAAAACAGACAGGAACTTCTGCATAACTATTCATCTTACTCTAATAGAGGTCTTGAAGAAAGTAGAATGAATCTCTCTCTGGAAGTACTTATCTCTATCTGTTGCAGAAGCCAAGGCAACTTTCTTAGACTGAATGCCAGACTTCGGTGAGATAAATGCCACTTCTTGTGCTCAAGATGTAGACATAAATCAACTCCTTGTGTTTGTTCAGCATCATCCTCTGGATGCTGAAGGGCTTGTTCCCTCACATGGCAGCCAAGGAGAGTATTGACGTTAATTTTTTTTCAGGGCTGAGTCAAGTCATAGAAGACTCGTTGAAAGGCACAAAACACCGCCAGTTGTAGATGGCATTGAAGTCTCTAATGTGCGATGGGAAATATGTGTTGTGTAAAATCATATGAAACTACTTTTCAATGTTTTATGCAAGAACATATTGTAGCACTGGTATCTAATATCTCAGTTCACATCTTTAAAGAGCTGGAACACTTTCTTCAGAGCTGTATTTCCTGCAGTCAATGTTCTGAATTGCTATGCATGCACTGCGTTTGGTACACAAAGCTTCATCAGCTCTCAATTTACTCATAATATATTTCAGCCATCAAGATGAAAGAGAACTTGAGATTTATTGCTTTGGAAACCTGATCCCAGGTCTAGAACACCAAAACTGTACTTAAAGGAAGCAAAAAATTGGACTGCTATAAGACAGACAGACAGACAGATATTTTTTGGTCCAAAGCTGAAAAGAAACAGTGGAGTTTTGGTTTGATTTGTTTTGACTTCATGATGCCAGTGTCTAATTACTAGCAATTATGTTCAATAGAAGTTTAAAATACTTTTATTTGACATAACTGAAACACCAGTCAGCTAATGAAAAATCTTCAAAGGTGAAGAAGCAGATCCACCAACTGTTAATCAGCTTAGTTCTGAAGCCCCTGAACCTAGGCAAATGCATATCAGTTAATTTTTGGCCACTGTTATTTCTTATTATTACCTTTCTGGAAATTATTTCTTTTCTGAGTGCATATTTCCACTTTTGACAAAATGCCCAAGCTGTATGATTCTGCAAATGCTTTGGAAAGGATATCACGTTTCTATTTGAATACCAACTCTTCTTAAAACACTTTGTATGTGCCAGATATTTTCATTTTAAGTAAAATGATGTACTCTTCTGGCTAAAGAATGGGGCATCTTAAGGCAATACTTGAAAAACTTGAAAGGCACACAGGACATTTCCCATACCTGGATACTTGCCTCATTTGTATTAATACTTCTTATGCTGTACTTCAAAATGGGTACCTCAAACCCCACATTTTAATACTAAATTATAATTAATACAGAAAGATATTTCTAATAACATTCCCTAATAACATTAGTTGAAAAGAGAGTGGTTTGATCTTAATCCATCTGGCAAAGCTCCTACAAAATTAAGCTATGCAGGCCACAGCCTGAACCTGTTACACTGAATGTACGTAACAAAGACCTCCTCACACACACAGTTTTGACTCTTGCCCTAAGTTTTCACAGGTACGCACTGTTCTGTCAGTGTTCTGTCTCTCAGAGCGCGAAATTTTACCTGATCTATGTCTCCATAATGCCTGGAGGAGCATACAGTGTAGATTCAAGACTTCTCACCTGTGCCAATAAACATCACATCATATTGGCCATCTTCTGCGTCTACTCGATCGACTACTATCTGTGTGAACTGGTAATCCACATCCGTTTTGATCATGATTGGACGGTTGTTGATGGGGAATACTGGGTTGTACATGGCTGGATGACTTCTCGCAAATGTTATAACTTCATCAGGAAGGTCCTTGGTGGAATCAAAGCCTCCAAATGTTTTACTGGGACACTGGAAATAAAAAAGAAAATGTTTTACATTTCATTATTGATCACTAGAAACACATTAGAAATCCATTTCATTACAATCATCCCAACTACTGCAGTCTGTAATTCAATATGACAGGGGATCCAAGTATTTCATGACAGACAGCAGAAGTTAATTCTGTCACTAAAAGTCTCTTTTTTTTTCATTTTGCATTTAAATCAGTATGGTTAACAGAATGTAGACAATACTCATATATAATTTTTCTTACTACTACACAGTGCAAAAGGATTTTCAGTCATTTACTGATTAGTATTAGTCTTTAACTGGCAGAAGGAAGAAATCCTGGATTGTCCAAAATGATTCAATATGAAACAAGCAATTTCAGTATTTGATTGTGTATACAACAGAAAATTAATTATTTATGCCACTGTCTTAGTTTCAAAGTATTGTCTTCAGAAGTTGACTGGAAGTCAATTCCTCTCTGAGGAATCAAATCCTTAAATGCTGGGACAATTCCCTGTTCTACTGACTTTTCAAACTCCCGCTTGTCTCAACAAGCCTGTGTCATGCATGTAGTCCAATAACATGGATCCTGCTACACTAAATCAAATTAAATGAGTCATGTCCTAAATGTATCTCTTTTCTCTCCATTGATTCTAAAGAAAGCTTCCTGTGAGTGTTTCTGATTATACTGTACATAGGAACAGTTAGGTGAGACGAGTCTCACTAAAGAACTGAAATAACTCCTCACTGTTGTGTACTGTGCAGTAACAGAAAAGTTGGTGTCCCCTTGGGATTAATCTGGTCCCCATGAAGTAAGAGAGGAAAGAGTTCCTTTGCCCCCTTATATAGGCATGGGTGGGCCAGACAGGTTTGCCTCTAATCTGTGAAAAGCATAGGGTTCTGCTTTTCACATTTTGCTCACATTCTCCCAACATGAGCAAAAAACAGAGGCCAAAAAGGGAAGGAGAGGTAAGACCACGGCTTTGGTAGCCACAAAAGTATTCCTTCACTTTCACCTACCTCATGTCCCCCTGGGGAGACTCAAGGACTGTGGCTAATCACCACCATTTGCCCTCATCTCTTCTGTAGAATTAGTCACTGTTTTATAAACAGTTAGAGGTTACTTTAACATAAGCATTAGTAGTGTGTTAGCAATGTTGAATGGATGAAGAAAATGAGCCACAATAGCATTAAGTCACACAAAGATACTTGGCAACGAACTTGGTGACCCCCACTCCTAATCTGTTCAGATACCTATTAAAGACATATAAAATTATGAAACCCATTTGACAACAATTATGTTTGAGGCATTTGAACCTGAAATATAAACAACTGGTGTTAAAATGCCCTAGATAATTTGCCCTTTATACCACATATAAAATATCTTCCAATTAAATTAAAAACCTAGAGGACAACATCTTATTAACCAGACCTTGCAGGATGCTCAGCAGAAGAAATCAATTGTCTTTGCTATCACCTTGATCCAAATTATTAATAATTCATCAGAAACAAAATTAAAAAATCAATGTTATCAAAAGGAGTAGCTGTTATACTCAGTGAAGGGACATTTCCAGTATGGACATATAAAGTGTAAATTGTCCCTTCTTGGCATATTTGTTAGTAAGCAAATTCCCGCATTCTGTTCCATTACATGGTATGGAAGGGAGGAAGGGAGGGAGGGAGAATATTTCATTAATGCATGTGGAGCAGACTAAGCAGAAAGTAAGTTAGTTATCTACTTCATTGTGTCAACACTTTTCAGCCTTTTTATTATTATATGTTATTGCTCTGTTGTACAGAAATATTAGAAAGAGAAAATCGTATAGGCTTTTCATGATCATTGGCCAAACCATTTTCTGTCTCAAAAATTACATTTAAAATTCTACACTTCAATTTTAAGTTTTCTTTACAGCTCATTTAATACTCTAACTAAAGTTCAATACTAATTACTCAGATTAATCACATAATGATTAATTAGATAATATATGTAAAGAGCTTTAAGTATAAAAATCACTACACAAGGACTAAGTATTGTTAATTACCGCTGGGAAAACACTGAAAAAAAACAGTAAATGAATATTCATTTCAATTTTAAGTAAATTAATTTCAGCTGTGTTTCAATTGCTTGAATATTTACTTTCTGGCTCATTTTCTAACAAAGGATTTTACTTGCAGCAATGTTGACCAAGATATATTTTATACAGAAAAATCACAAAACTAGAATTAGTATCATAATTCTGTGTGTTTAAATGAGACTCCCAGTTCTGAGAGCCAGATTACTCCTTGGATCCCCTGCTTTTCTGAGAACAAAAAAATGACAGTAACTTTGTGTCTTTACATCTAAAGTTTAAAGTGTATACCTGGACTAGGCTGTGGCTCACATTCATCCCACCTCACTTTAGGAAACTGACTGAGATGAAATCAAACTCTCATTGCTATAACTCCCTCCCTTTTCAATGGAGTGAAATGGGCACCATCAGTAGGTGGGATTTAGCCCATCCATGGTCCAAATCACTTGCAGAGGAATCTCAACTCACATAGTCAGAGATAGATAGACTAGACTAGACTAGACTAGTTGTTCCAGAGAGGAAAGTCCTGTCATGTTTCCTTATGTTATGGTCACAAAACCAGGATACAAAACCAAGACAACCTAACCAATCCCACCGATAGCAAGGAAATAGAAAGTTTTCAGGTGCTGAAAGTTAGGCATGTATACAGATATCCTGAAAAAGTTTGGAGAAATGAGCTTGATCTTGGATTCAAGTAGAGTCAAAGGACACTTGCATTTAACATTTGCTTCCAATTCTTGGTCTCCAGAATGCTATGTCAGTGGTTTTGATCAGTCAGAAACAGGTAACTAAGCTGTCCTCTAACTAACTGACCTAGTAGGGAATCCAACAGAATAAATCAATAGCTACATTTTGGTAGGAACAAAAAGTGCTTTGGTCATAACTGAAAATAGACTCTTGGTACCGTGAAGCCAACCAGAGAAAACTTGAGCTCTGCAGCTGAATTCACAGAAAGTCAGACATGAATTCAGGATGAAGTGCCTCATTCAAGATGAGGTACATACAAAAATCCCCCCTCCTCTCACAAATATTGTTAAAAGGTTAAAAAAAAAAAAAAAAGTTCTATAGATCTTAAAGGAAAAATCCTGGCAACTACTTTGTTAAACGTGAAGCTGCTATAGAATTGTTTGCAAAGTTTTCCGACGTTTCAAAAGAACCGTTAACTTTCCTTTTTCTTTACTTGTACCGGGCAAGTCACCAGGTGCTGAAGAACTTTACTGGCACCTCACCTATTAAATTCCTCGGATAATTCAGCACTGTTTAACTGCAGTGAGATCTGGAACTGAATCACTCTAAGAAGCTCAGGTTTTGTTTCTCCCTTCCCTTACCCCGTTTCTTGGAAAAGGAAGCCACAAGTCTGACATCTAAAGGAACTTCAAAAACCTTTCTTCTTTATTCTCGACAGGTCTTCAAAGCCATTGAAAATACATCCAGTTTTATTACTTTAGAAACAAAAAGGTTCTTTTCAGCCAGAAATGTCTCTCATTTTAAAATTCAGTTTTATTCTACTAATACAATGGTATGATTTTAGCAACTGTGAGGGGAAAAAAATCTTTTTCAGGGTGGTAGACACCAGGATTAGGGTCACTGGCAGTGGGCTAAGAGAAACTGATGGCCTCAGCCACTCTTTAACTAACATCATTTACTGTGGCATGGCCACTTGCACTACATGATGAGACTGTAGGGCTATGTAGAATTGTATAATTTGGGATCACATTCGCCCTTTGGCAAGAAAAATGTTTTCAATGAAATCTGAACCACTTTGCACTTTCTTTGTGAATCTTAGGATAAATATGTTATAGCGAAATTGTAACAGTAAAATCCACTCTGAGATTGGATTAGCCAGAAAAAAGAAGTGTATGTAACTTAACTGTATTTCCCTCCTTTGGCAAAAGGTCTCGTGGCTTAGGTCACTGAGCCACTTAGGGGCTGGATTCTGTTTTTCTGCTTGTTCTCGGGAATTTGATCAAGTTATTCTTCTCCCATACAGATCTCAGTTCAAGACCCTCAGACAAGTCTTGGAATAACCCACAGGCTCTGAGGCAGGCAGAGCTGTGTTGCCAGTCTCTAGGGCAAATATTTGAGTTGTGCATTCAGAATCTCAGCAGAGCTGTGTTCGATCTCTGCTGAGAAATGAATGTAATAGAGCCACTGTGCAGCAGCCAGTTCTTGATCCCAGTCTATTTCTGTGATGGAAGCATGCAACATTCTTCTTTGTAGTTTTACATAATTGTTTTTGTTTAGAAAGGTTAATCAATACTGGAATCAAAGAGGAATATAAATAAACAGAATAATGAATATTAACTTATATAAGTCTGTCAGACTGTAAAGAAGATGACATTAGCTATACAAGAAATACCAAAAATATCTACTCATTCACATTTTCCACAGGGATGTGAAACAATGCAACTGCAAAAAACCCCTCTGACATACCAGCATTAACTATAATAATTTTAAAAAAAGTTCAGCATCAAATGAGAAATGAAATCTCTCCTGTGCTGCAGAGCTTGTATTTCAACTCTGGAAAAAATTAGGAAACCCTTTAGCAGTTGTAGTGAGGGAGTGAGAAGTGCTGAGGAATCTGGCTGTCAGGGAGCCACTGTTTTCTTTTACTTAGGAAGTCATTTTCATTAGGCTGAGCATATATATTGTCTAACTGTTGGAGATCAGTTGAAAGATCAAGTTTGAAAGAACAATTTCAAAACATACCAGACAAAAGTAGAAATTCTCATGATTTAAAAGAAAGGATCAAAGTTACTCCTGGTTTTTTTGTGCCTTATATTTAAGGAGGCTTTTAAAAGAATCTTATAGACTGATATATTATTTACATTTACATGTATATCTTTATATGTATAAATATGTACACTTATATTTAATCTTCAGCAATGGTATTTCAGAATGTAATTGGTTCAGGCTGATTTGTACTAGCTAAGGAACTACCCCAAAGTATACTATTAATGCTTTTTTTATAAATGTCCCATCTTCTTAGACTAGTGGTAATTTCAGAGGCAGTTAAAGATTTCTAGAATGTGATGACATCAGCTGGGAATTGTAAATATGGATGTCTTATATACACTGACTGGTATTTTAGTCATTCACACCCTAGAAACAGAGAAACAGGTAGAAGCACAGATTTTAAAAAATGCCAGTGAAAGTTAGAATTTATTACAGTAACTCTATCATCCATTGCAGAAATATCTGTCTTACTGTGCTAGATTTAATGTCAAGAACAATTGAAAATCTCTTAACAGACAGGCAGATGCTCTGTTTTCTGTTCCTTCTCACTAAGAATGGCTTGGCCAATACCTGGAACAAAGACAAACTCCAAGGAAAGGATAATGCAGAGTAATTTATTAAACATTTGACTTTAAGTAAAGTACTTCAGCCATTGCTCAAACTTCTGCTGAAGCTGTTAATATGAACGCCAAAATTAAAACCCAAATGAAGTTGCTATTGCTGTTTCATACTTTACCAGAAAATCAGTACGTTTTGGACCTGGAGGAACTGTTAGCTTTCCTTTCTGCCACCCGAGCCATTTCATTATCTTTTTCAGTTTCTTTCCTGGATCTCAGCTCAAGGACCATGTAATGTGTGAAGATATTTTCCATAGTTTTCCCTTTTTAGATTACTGTATTACTTAGGGTACTTACAGTTCCTGGCCGTGGATATGGCACTCTCCCTTGGTAGGGAACCCACTGGTAGTTTGGGCCATCTCGATGGGCATAGGGACCAAGAAATACCCTCCTCACGTCAGTCATGCTGTACATACACACTGCTGACCCCTTGAAGATATTACTAAAAATGAGGGGAGAAGTCATCAAATCAGGTTCTTTAAATTATCAGTTGGTTTCATCGAGTAGAAGAGCTATGGGAATAGCAGCTTGTTGCTTTCTAATTTATTGCATGTGCTGATTATCAAAACTCTGACATGCTCTCAGAGCAATCCTAACTCACCTCCTGTGAAAGTTCAGCACAACTGATACGATCTCTCAGACATTTTCCTAAGCAGATGGCTGCTATTCCTCTATTTAAAACATATTGTCCCCAGAAGGCTAAAGCCCCAATTTGAGTAAACTTCAACGGGGCTGTCCCTAGAGGACTATTCAATTTTTTCCTACACTTCACATTTTTCTATTTTTTTTAGCAGCCTCTTCCGCCATTTGGGCAGCACACACACAAACTTCAGTGTTGTTTCTTACCTTGAGATTTCTTACAGCAGACAGTAAGGACTTGTAAATCTCCCTCGTCTATGCCTGGTTATCACTAGAAACATTCTTTCTGTTTAGAAACTAAAACTTTTGTCCTTCGCAGATAAATGTGGCAATGCAACCAGTACTGCAAACCTTCCTCAGGCCAAAGCTACAAGTATAATTTTGTTCTTGGTGAAAGCACAATGAAACCAAAACATTCAAGTTACAGCTATATGTGATTTAATAACAGAACTTTTGAAAGATCATTAAACTTCCCAGATTTCAGCAATATTTTTTACTAATATCTCCTTGAGTAGCCAGTTTCTCACACCACAGATTTTCTATTTTACCCTGCCCCCAAACAAGCATATTTGTGCTTGTGTTGCTTTTCTAGGTCTGTGTGGAAAGGGCTACAAATTCTGATCCCCACTATAAAAAGCCCATTCAACAGCAAGAACAGCCTGAGAAACTGATAGTCTTTGTGATTACTAGCTTCAGAGTGATGATGCACATTGCTCAAAAGAAAAGAAACCCAATTCATCACTTCTCACTGCCACTGACTTCTCAGTTCAAAGGTTAAGAAAATTCTATGTTTCTGAAAAACATTTTTAACAAAGAGACCTCTTTAAAACAAGCAGCCACCCAAGATTCCATGCAAGATACGTTCTATACCTGGAAGTTGTGAACACTCCATAGACTATTGGATTTTTAGGGTCTTTTGAGTTCATTAGGAACACATCCTCTGTAACAATAACAAGAGATGGAAAAGAAATCTAAGTTAAATTCATATGGATAATATCTGAAAACATTTACGTATTCAAAGCCATTTCTACCACTTACGTAGTTCATCAAAGTGCGTGTCAATGCCGTTGGGTCCCGGCACAGAACAAATCAGACGTGCTTTGAGGAAAGTTGTCCATTTGTTAACAAGGCTCCGGTGCCCACCAAAGTCATTCTAATAACAAAAGTATTCTTCATTAATATCTAGTAACAGTCTTTGAAGTATCAACACAGTACAGAAAAAATAGCACAAAAAGAATAACCACAAATTGTTACTTATAGAAAACAGAGAAAAGAATTCATATTCTGCGTATAAAACATTATTACATTGTCAAAAACGCTAATTCTGAATTGCTTTTATATTACATTGTACATATTTCATAGTAGTACATGATTTAAAAAATGAAAAAAACCAAAACCCAAACCTCTTTATACATTGTAACACATATATAGCACTGGAGACAGACAGGCAGACTATTTTGTTCCAGAGCTCCCAGGCTGCCATGCCCAGGTAAAGCTTAAGGGTTTTATTATCCTTAACTGGATAACAACAAGGTAGAAATGCAAGCTGCAAGTGAACAAAGTAGATAAAAATGCCAGAACAGTGAGATTGGTTGTATAGCTGCAAAACGTATATGAATAAAGTGCACCAAGGACTCCATACTTATGGGGTATTAGGTTTTCAAGCAGCTACCTCTGGACTTGAGGAGATAAATTGAAATTATGCTTATGGATTAACAAGAAATTTTACTGTAAACATCATAGCTACAAAGCTACAACATTTATTAATATCATTTCATTAGTAGAAATCTTTTTGAAGTCTGTCAGAAAAATATTTGGACATTTATCAGTGTGGATGAATGATTCAATCTGCAGTCATTAAGGGTTTTCTGAATGGTTGCCCATTTCTACAGCTAAGCCTGAACAACTGTTTTGTTAAGTCTTCCTTTGTCTCTGTTTTAAAGATTTTCACTAATATGGGAATGGAAAAGTATTAACATTCCTTTAAAAAGTAAATTCTTCAAATGTTTTTGGCCTACCTGGAAGTATCATATTTCCCGTAAAAGAATCTCTCTTTTGCAGACACATTCGAAGCCTCAGAAGCTGCCTATGACTTTTTAAACATAACATCGTAGTTTGTGAAGCTGCACCAAACAGAAAAGTACTGAAAAGTATACCTTTGAGTGTGTTATTCCCTAAATATTTTTCACTTGGGATGATCTCTGCTTTAGTACAAGCCAGTGTTAATACTGAATAGTTTACGGGCGAGAAAATGCAGTTTCTAAAATCCCTCACAAAGTGTCCTGTAAGTGTATTCAGTCCCACAAGAAGAAGTCCTTATTTTACCTTGCAGATCTGCCCTATCCTGGCATGAGTGGCTTTTCCAGTGTGCTCTCCATCAATTGCATTTTCACGGAAGAAGAAGTAGATTTTGTCATCTTCTGGGTTGTCGCTCTCTGGTATCAGGTGAGCACTAATAAATCTAGGATCTGAGAAGACAATGACGTTGTGCATGTTACTACTCCATGAATTGAATCATTTGCCTTCTTTATATAATTCAATTGTGATTTTGCTTCCCAAGAATCAATATTTGCATCAGTGGCAAATATATCTATGTTAGGTACATCCTCAGCCATTAACGTGTGACAGGTATTTACGTTCCTCTTGCCTTTAATACAGAGGTGTTTGTTACAGATGAACAGATCTTAACTTTATTACTGGAGCAATTAAACATCCATGAAATCTCTTTACAAATGGTTGTATAACATTAGAGCATGGCTACCTAATTCCATATATCTATTACTGACATTTTTCTTGTTTCTTTGCTTGTTTTGACTTTGGTCAATAATCTTTCTGTATGTCACACATAAAATGAGACAATTATTGAGACAAATCCAATGTTCCTAACTTTAGCAGTAGTGAAGAATATATGAAGAGAGTATTTTACATGTAGAAAAGTATTAATGTGTTACTGTCAAAAAAAAAAAAAAGAAGAGTTAAAAAACACAGTTTTGATTGATATTGTCTACTTTCACACTATGATACCCTAAACCCCAACATTTTTGTCTCATTTTCAGAAAAGAGAAAAAGATTTGTGAATTTCTACTCAGGTTGTTGAAATACTGTCTCTTGTCATTTTTTTAAATATTTTTTTTTTCATAGAAAACCTTTATTTCTTGACAGTTAGAGTGACAACATCATCTGGTGATAAAGAAGATCCATCAACAAATGAAAATATACAAAGAGCAGACATACTGATCAGTTATGTAAAAAATGGTGGAAAGAAGTTTGGGGAGAGGATTTTATAGAAATCATAACAGTAAATTCATACCAGTGGTGAATCTGGCTCATCACTGTATTTTACAAAGATACTTCAGCTGGTATCTTTCACTATATTTGGAAAAAGAAGGCATATCCAACAGATTTACCAATCTGTTTTATAACCATTTTACATCCTGCTGGGATAATTAACTGTGAACTATATTTAACTACTCAGAGTCCTGTTCCTATGTGAAAGTATAAGCTATTTTAGTGTCATGTATTAACATCTTTTCAGTGTGTGTTTATTCCTATATAGTCATGGAAATAACGAACTGTACTTTGTTTTGCCAGTTTGTACTATCTGTCCTGTGAAACCCATTGCCTTATTAAGGATAGCAGTGTTTGTAAGCAACATATTTTGATATATTTATATATAAGTATGTATATGTTTACATGTTTCTATTATATCAGTACATACTGCATAATTTTTTACGTGTGTGTGTGTGTTTGTGTATATATGTATATATGGATTTTTGTGTACTCTGTGGATGTGTGTATATATATGCATACACAGTACATGAGAATGACCATGCTGGCTTAGACCAAGGTTTACTTAGATCAATATACAGACTCCAACATTGTCCACAAGTAATTATCTGGGACAAAGAAACAATATGGTAAGCACAAATAATACTCTCCCAGAACAATCTCCCTTCCTCCAACTATTTTCAGTGTAGTTGATTCCCTGAGCTTGGTTGCTTTCTACGTGCTTAGTAACTCTCAATGGATTTTTCATCCAGTTATCTGTCTAGACTCTTCTTGAACCCATGCAAATTTCCAGCATCCATAGTGTCCTTTTGAAATTTGTTTCTCACGTACACAACCTAATGAACTGAACCCTACTTCTGATTTTGCGTTTTGAACATTGATCTTACTTACTTCATTTGGTGCCTCTTAAATACTGTATTGGAAATACCCACGTTCAAGATGTGGATGAATTGTGCTTTTATACAAGGGCTATAGCAATGCTCTTTGTTGGTTTCTCTGTTCTTTTTCTATTAATTCCTAACATTTAATATAGATTTGACAGTTCCTAATCAGTAAGCTGAAATTTTTATGGAACTTTCATGTGCCGTAACCCAAGAACCTCAGTTTTCATTGGTAATGCTCGGTCCACAACCCATGTTTTTATATGTGAATATAGGCATGTTTCCCTCACGGTTTTCTCCATGTTTTATCACCACATCATTCATCAACAATAATTTAATTTGTCATTTGACTGCTTAGCTACCCGGTTGCATAAGATCCTTTTGTAATTCTTCACAGCCTTCCTTTGTCTCACTATGATGAATACTTTAGTATCGTGTGAAAAATGTTCTCATCTTGCTGCTCAACCTCTTTTTCAGGTTATTTATGAACATATTGAACAACAGAGGCCACAGAACAGATTTCTGTGGAACTGTGTCCATTACCTACTGTTTACTAAAATAAATCTCTTTAGACCTCTGAGCTTAAGCTCTCCACCCCAAACCCCAGTAACTTAAGCTACTAAATTCACTTCCTTTCTTGCTAGCATGCATTTGATAGCCTTCAAGTTATATTGACACAAGGCCCAAGATAAATAATATCTAGAATATATTGTACCATGGTAAATACCTGTTATTTTATATATGATCTACCAGGGCTTTGAGTGTAACTTGTGTCACAATAAACACAAGGCTACAGCTTGAAGATTTCTGGATTGCAGCCTCTGGAAGGATATATCAGGAAAGAGGATACCCATTAGAAGACACTGGTCTGGGCTACTGAATCTGGAGAACCTCTTGTCTGAATACACTGGTTTTACAATCTTAAGGTCTTAATGAAAAGGGCAAAAAAAAATCATTCAACCAAAACCTAAATACATTTCCAAATGGTTGAATGATTTGGTTTTAGCACAATGGGTTTTGTAAATCATGAGGTATCAAATTCTAAAATAAATCACTATATTATCAGGCATCAGAAATCTAACTTTACATTGGCCTGTGAAGATATTGTGGGGAGTCCCCTTTGAGTGAATAAATTTGCTGATAAAGCACGGGTTATATAAACTTGCCCTCAGTTAGCCTGTTATTCTTTTCTTTCCCTCTCATAATTTTGCAAGTGAACACAGAAGCAGTAAGCATTAAAGCAGGAAAGATACAGGAATGATAGAAAAATAGTTTAAGAAATTAAAAATATATATTTCAAATACTTCTGACAGAGTGGTAAGAGAGGAGAGGAGTGTGAGAAAGGCAGCTATAACGCCATAGCCACAAAGCATGTGAATATGCTTTGTATACATTTCTTACCACTGCTTACCTGGGGTGAATTCATTTTTTCAATTAGTGATTAATAATCCTAACTACATCCCTGAAAATAAAGTGGTTACACAGCCTCATATTAGAACACATCCATTCTACATCATGTTTTTTGTTGAGTAACTCTGGTGTATCTTACTGAGCAAACCTCAGGCTACTTCACCATCTGGTTAAATCAATATGTTTTAGTCAATAAAAAAGTGGTTCTTCATGTTATAGGGCCCTTACTCTTGTTACCTGGTGGCGTTTGGGTTTTTTCGCCTCTTCTGTATAACAGATCCATGTCTATGCAATGAAGCAAATAAAGGAAGAACAGGCTACACGTGTCCTGTTTCATACAGAAACAGATTCATTTCTGTTCAGAATGAATACAATGATCATAAAAGCAACATCATGATTATATCTGCGGAGAAGGGGAGAGAAATGTGGTTGGTAATTTTGTAGGTTATAAAGCTAAGAAGTGGGTGGTGTGAACTGGTGATGTGTAGTGTGTTCTTTATTGTTTCATTAGCAGAGGAGCTATTTGACTTGCCTGAGGCTTGATGCACACTTGTATTTAACTCCAGGGCCTCAGACCATGCTTACAACTAACTGTTTAGGGTCATGATGAATCAATCAGCCAGATGGCCGGCAGTCACGCAACACAGCACTCTCCATGGACTACATAGCATTTTTTCATTGCTCTTCTTCGAGGAAGGGAAGGGAGGTGTTGTCCACAGACAAGGACTCCTCCTTGACTCTCCTAATTGCTCACCCATGCAGCAGAAGAAAGAATGTCATCCATGAATGTGTACGTTCAAGTATTGAGACTGCCATGCCTTATCCTGAAAAATTAAACAGGTTCGGTATCAAGGGGTCCCCATGGGAAGTTTAAAATAATCCAGACAGGGTTGACCTATTTCGTACATTCAACACAGCCACAAAAGAAGTGCTGGAATGAACTTCAAGCAAGTTTTACTGAATGGAAAGTGGGACTTTGATCCAAACCCACCGGTGACCATTGTAAAATCAGTGCACTTTATCTATCCACTGTTGTGGATAGATAGGATGACTTCAGATTTCTGTGTATGAATTATCAGGTATTCTGTGACCCTAAAACTGTCTCCAAACCGTGAAGTGATCAGAAATGCTGTTACAACAGTTCAACACTTTCTTGTTTAAAAGCAGTTTCCCATTGGCTAAAAGTCCAGCAAGCATGTTTTGGGAAAAAGAATTTAAGAAATAATATGACAGCAAATATTTTTCAATTTTTCATTCTTTTAAAAAAACACAAGCAGACAATGTGGAAGAGTGCTTTAAAAACAGCACACGTCAAACAAACATGCCTGAAACGTGTTTAAGCATGATCAAAGGAGAAACAAAGCCACAGCATAAACATGATCAAAATAAAATTACAGCTAAAAACACTTCTCTGATCTTGCAGCCAATGTGAACAAGCTAAAAATAAAAACGTAGGTTTTTATTTAAAACAGTCAGCCTCAAGAAGCAAATTATTAAAGCACACACCTTTTTCAGTCTCCTTTTTCCAGTTGTCTTGGCTGTAGGGCTATTTCCCAGCTCCCACGCGACACCTTTCTAGCGCCATTTTTTGTGTGCCCGCCTGCAATTACCAGCTCTGCAGACATTTCACTGGCAGCAGCCCATTAAACTGTCCTTCATGAGAAATCTGGCTCTTTATGAAAATGACACCTTGGTCTAGCTGCCTCTATGATTTATATGCCATTGTTTGCTTAGTTAAGTAATGGAAACATGTTTTGCTTGTCTCAGCACTACAGGTTGAGAAAAAGCTAAGGAAAATCGATCTGCATTTGTTCTTTTACAAATGTTACTTGTTAGCAGCAACAACCACACACACACACACACTCCCTAACAGCAAGAAACAATAAAAG